TTAGCCCTGGTTGCCGTTATCCCCAGGGGTCCATGGCAACCAGGGCTAACTTTAGCCCGTCTGCAGCAGCCAGGGCTAACGTTAGCCTGGCTGCTGCAGACGGGCTAACGTTAGCCCGTCTGCAGCAGCCAGGCTAACATTTGCCCGTCTGCAGCAGCCAGGCTAACTTTAGCCCGTCTGCAGCAGCCAAGGCTAACGTTAGCCCGTCTGCAGCAGCCAGGCTAACATTAGCCCGTCTGCAGCAGCCAAGGCTAACGTTAGCCCGTCTGCAGCAGCCAGGCTAACATTAGCCCGTCTGCGGCAGCCAATGCTAACGTTAGCCCGTCTGCAGCAGCCAGGTTAACATTAGCCCGTCTGCAGCAGCCAGGCTAACATTAGCCCGTCTGTAGGAGCCAGGCTAACATGAGCCCGTCTGTAGCAGCCAGGCTAACATGAGCCCGTCTGCAGCAGCCAGGCTAACGTTAGCCCGTCTGCAGCAGCCAGGCTAACATTAGCCCGTCTGCGGCAGCCAATGCTAACGTTAGCCCGTCTGCAGCAGCTAGGTTAACATTAGCCCGTCTGCAGCAGTCAGGCTAACATTAGCCCGTCTGTAGCAGCCAGGCTAACATGAACCCGTCTGCAGCAGCCAGGCTAACGTTAGCCCGTCTGCAGCAGCCAGGCTAACATTAGCCCGTCTGCGGCAGCCAATGCTAACGTTAGCCCGTCTGCAGCAGCCAGGCTAACATGAGCCCGTCTGTAGCAGCCAGGCTAACATTAGCCCGTCTGCAGCAGCCAGGGCTAACATTAGCCCGTCTGCAGCAGCCCTCTCTCTGCATAGCCGTGTGTGAAGGACCGCTGGCCCTGATTGGAGATTTTTTTGTTTTATTTGGCAAAATGTTCATTCGATTTGTGTTTATCTGGCTTTGTTCATTATTATTCCGCCACTAAATGAAAAAAATCTGAATTTATTATTATCTAGGGACTATTAATAACAGGTGAAATGCACCTCCAGACGAGCAGAGCGTGTGGTGATGTCATCAGTACGCTTCTGTTCCAATTCACACATATTTATGCTCCGGTTCTCCCCAATTCCATACTTTCCTGTGTTCTTTTCAAAAACATACTTCGAATGTACTCGTGTTCTTGTGAATTGAGAAACTGCAACAGTTTTGAAAAGTTTTAGTATTCATTCTTTTCCTCCTTTGTGTGTCAACTGGCACGGTTGCTAAGCAACAGGGCATAGGGCGGTAAAAGCTGTGGAAGGCTGGACCCGTTTCAGTCCACAGCAAAATCTCTTCCGGTCTCCGTATTTTCACAGAAATGAAGGATCCAGTCCAGGTAGACCGCGTCCTTTAAGACGCAGCCCATGAACTTGAATTCAGGCAGAGTTTTGCTCCACGCTACCTTCAGGTACTGCAGGTCAGCCTGCAGGAGGCGCAGGTGGGTCATCAGCTGTCTGCTCAGATCAGGGCCGTCTCCCCCTGCCTGTGAGGACGAGGACAGCAGCTTCCTCATGTCGATCCCAACATCGTCTTCAGTGCTGCTCTCCCCAAAGCCCGCTTCAAAGTCCAGACCCACAAAACCTGCTGGTGGAGAGTTTGGAGAGTTTTAAAAAATCTGGACAGAACATCCAAACTTCAGCAGAACACGGACTTACTGTTAGGTTCAGCTGACTCAGACTCCCCGGTGAGGTCAGATGGAGGCTGCAGGTCATCATTCTCTGAACTTTCAGGTGGGCGGATCTCATGTGCAGGAGACGGTACTTCAGGGGTCCCAGGCTGACTCTCAGGGGCCCCACTGGACTTGTTGTCCTCTGTCTCCTCCTCCTCTGGCTCTCTGCCCATTAAGTGTGAGTAAAGTGTCTCCTTTAGCATCACCACTGTAACAGAAGATGTCCTCCATCAACAAGTTAATCTAAATTGAAAAGCAGCGTTATGTGGGTGACTATAGACAGAATTGGATGGGCGTACATGTCCGGAGAGCCTCTTCAGCTTTGGAGGAGGGGAAAGTTAAGTCCATGTCTTCGACCGCGATGCCGTGACGAGATCCTTCCTGCAGGAGTCTGTCTGCCAGCTGCCCGTCCAGGAAAGCCTCCAGCTCTGCTTCGTCCACCTCCTCTTCCTCCTCCTGTTTGACCGCATCTGCCAGCTCCTCTTCCTCATCTTCTGATTTCACGCAGTCAAAAGGGTTGGTAGAAGTTTGAATGTCAGGAGAGTAAAGGGCATCTTTATCTGGAACACAGAATAAAAAGATTTTTGAATTTCCATCAATAACAACACATTGGCTTCCTGTTAAATCCAGAATAGAATTTAAAATCCTCCTTCTCACATATAAAGCCTTAAATGGCCAAGCTCCATCTGATATCAGAGATCTGATTGTTCCTTATGTTCCTAACAGAGAACTTCGCTCTCAATCTGCAGGTTTACTAGTGGTTCCTAGAATTTCTAAAAGTAGAATGGGAGGCAGATCTTTTAGTTCTCAGGCTCCTCTCCTGTGGAACCAACTACCAGTTTTAGTCCGTGAGGCAGACACCCTGTCTACTTTTAAGGCTAGGCTTAAAACTTTCCTTTTTGATAAAGCTTCTAGTTAGAGCGGCTCAGGTTATCCTGAGCTATCTCTATAGTTCTGCTGCTATAGGCTTAGACTGCTGGAGGACATAGGGACCCCTTTTTCATCATTCTGCTTCATTCTATCTCTATTCTCCCACTCTGCAGAATCTGTTAGTTCAATCTCTAACGTTCTGCTCTCACTGCTTTTTCTCATAGTAGCTTCATCTGGTCTGTTCCTGTTTGGCTGTGACTCCATCCTGGAGAGAAATATCAGCTGTGCTGCTGCCATCAACACCTTTGTTTCTAGATGTTGGAGATCTGCCTGTTTTTACAGTGTAGTCTTGTTTCTCTGACTGTTACTGGATGTGCTCTCTTCATCCTCTGACATGGGAGCTGGCTCGGAGCTCGTCTGCCTGGCTGTGTCTTTCCTGGACGCCTGTGGATCTGATCAACAGTTGCCTTTTGTATCTATGCTTCTTTTTCTATGTCTGGTTCTGTCTCCTTGAACCCCAGTGGGCCTCAGCAGATGGCCACTCACACTGAGCCTGGTTCTGCTGGAGGTTTCTTCCTGTTAAAAGGGAGTTTTTCCTCTCCACTGTCGCTACAAGCATGCTTAGTGTGAGGGATTGCTGAAGAGCCAATGAGTCGATGCAATCAACTGGTTTTCCTTAGATAGAAAACTTTAAATCAATCTGACTGGATGATCTGGTGAACTGTAAAGTGTCTTTAGATGACATGATGTGAATTGGCGCTGTAGAAATAAACTGAATTGAATTTGATCAAATTTATGGTAACAATTTTTATATATATTGCTTTTTATCTGATATGTTTTCATCAAAGACAGAAATTAAGTGTCTATATTTTGCTTCTGGCCTGAAGTTCCCCAAAGATGAGCTACTGTAGAAATGGGTAGATACTGATATACAGAGTAGAAGGTTTAAACAAAGTGACAAGAAGCTGAAAATGAACCAACAGCTGTCTGATTGTTGATCTGATATTCTTCCCGGTGAGCCACAGGTAAAGCATTCCAGAAGTTTCTAAACTTTCAGTATCACTTGTTGGAATAAAAATGGCCTCCATGGAAAATTTAAAGTCCAAAATCATTGCTGACCCACAAGAGCCTGCTTTATATCCCCAAATCTTCGTCACATACATAATGAAGATGACTTTTTATCCTGACATAAGGAGCTGTTCTAATTAAAAGGAAAAGTCGGGTGATATTCAGAATTTAAACTTCTGAAAGTACTTCAAATATGAAATTATTACATACTGTTCAATAGTTGAGTGTTTTTAATTCAGAGTAATTTTCATGTGAATGTGCTTTACTGGAGGCATCCATGTTTGTCAAAGAACACTACTGCCACCTACTGGTTAGTGACGTCACGGTGCGGTATCGGCTGTTGATCAAGTCCCAGTGCTGTATCTGGTGTTTGTCACAACGCGCTATTATCCAAGTCATCTTGAAAACATTCTTCTTCCAAATGTTGGCTACATATTACGGGTTTTTTCTCTGGCCAGAAGTTCGATGGCAAATCCTCCCTCTTCAAGTTGGCGATCCAACGACCAACCCGTCCGTGGAGGATCAGGAATCAGAAAGGTGGAATAACTCTTTTTTTTCCACTTTTACCCGATGTATTCCAGCATCCAGCTGCCATGCACGTGGGCATTGTCAGTTTCACTATAGCTCTGGTGAATTTCAATGGTGAAGTCCTCTGGAAATCTTCAATAATTGTTGTTGATTGCAGATGTGTCTAGTAGTTCCCATTGATTTAGCTTGGACAGCGGGGAGAATGGCGCTAGGCTTACCGCACCGTGACGTCACTGCCGGAAGATGGCAGGAGGGAGGGGTTACTATATTTGGGCAAAAATGGCCGCTCCTGGAAATTATTGTTTTAATTTTTTTACTGTTTGACGCTATATTCATTAAATCACTGCGAATGTATTAGTTTTTGGTATAAATAATGACCCACTAATTATTCATTGCTCACCCAGGGTTCCTACAGCATAAGGCGAGTTAAATTCAAGACTTTTTAAGACTTTTTAATGCCACTTGAAATAAAAATTTAAGACCAAATTGACAAGAAACACAAGAAAAACCTGCTTGCAACAACTTAAAGGAATAGTACACCCAAAACATGATTAGCCTTCATTTTCTACTCACCCCCATGCTGAACAACACTCTGGAGTACTTTTTTGATATCTCAAATGCATCTGGAGATGTGGGAGGCTTCTTGCTGTCTGCTGACATTCAAATAATGGAGGTCTATGGCGCCCGAGACAGAAAGGTCCATAAAAGTCCACAAAAAACGTGTCAATATTCCTCCATACTGCTCGTCCAATGTATTCCAAGTGTCCTGAGTGGGTAGCGTCCAGAATTTACTCGAAACGAAGTCATTTAGAATGTTTTTAGAGCATAAACAGTAGTGTATAGGATTTCCTGAAAGCGCGTTCACGAGTCTACGGAAACCGCGGCAGACCAAACCAGATGAAAGTGCGCATTCAGCGTCTGCTCTGCCGATAATGCAAGCATAGAAGAAGAAATGTGCTGTTTACCTGTGCAAAGAAAGAAACAACGAAAGAAAAATGTCTGAGGACTTCAGTGTTGAGGAAGAGCATGAGTTCTTTGCCGAACTGAATGCGCACTTTCATCTGGTTTGGTCTGCCGCGGTTTCCGTAGCGTCGTGAACGCGCTTTTAGGAAATCCTATACACTACTGTTTATGCTCTAAAAACATTCTAAATGACTTTGTTTCGAGTAAATTATGGACACTACCCACTCAGGACACTTGGAATACATTGGACGAGCAGTATGGAGGAATATTGACACGTTTTTGTGGACTTTTATGGACCTTTCTGTCTCGGGCGCCATAGACCTCCATTATTTGAATGTCAGCAGACAGCAAGAAGCCTCCCAGATCTCCAGATGCATTTGAGATATCAAAAAAGTACTCCAGAGTGTTTTTCAGCATGGGGGTGAGTAGAAAATGAAGGCTAATCATGTTTTGGGTGTACTATTCCTTTAACCCAAAGGTTTATATTAACATAAACCACTGCACTAATGTTTCAAATGTTGAAAAGCTTCCCATACAGGAAGAAAGCTAAAAACACACAAATGACAGATATATTTGAACAATTATTTAACTGAATTCACAAACTTTGTTTTAGCAGGGAACAAAACAAATCAGTTTTAAAGCCCCAACATAACCAGTGCTAAGTCTTTTTTGCAGCTATTTTTCTTTGTATGGTTTTCTTAGTATGTTTGATTTGGTGATAAGTGGAGGCGTTGCAGAGACAAGGGTGGAACAAAACTGAGAAATACCGGCTGTTTCTCTGTAACTCCATTTTGACGGTTTGTGTTTCGTGCTTCGCATGTGCGACTCCACTGCCTTAATTCCCATCGTTCTGAGCTTGAATGACTTCTTGCACTAAATCCACTGAGCCTCATGTATGTTCCCTGGTTTTAGCCGTGGAGAAAACTCTTGGCTGGAGACAATTTTGGTTACATTTACACTTGCTCATATTTTCCAGACAAAAAGTTAATGGTGCATCTCCCAAATGTCCCTGCCGCAACAACGCTTTATTGGTTCCGCTATCGGGACGGAACCAATAATGGCGAGCCATTTTTTTTTTTTTTATAAATTTTTTAAATGAATTGTAATTTAGATTACAAAAATAAATTGTAATAAAAATTATCCTATTTATGTTTTAAAAATTAAGACCCACGAAAGACTGATTTAAGACATTTTAATACCAATTAAGGCCCCTAGTTTTATTTTGAAGAATTCAATGCCTTTTAAGACTTTTTAAGGACCCGTGGGAACCCTGCTACCGGACTTTTCCTTTAAATAAACTAATGGGGTAAAACATTAGTTCTGACACGCAACAGCCAGGTATTATTAGGGTTTAAAATACTACACTATAAATCATCAATAAAAATAATCCTAACACTTGCATCAAACAAATACCTGATGGATGGATGTCCTCGCTCAGCGTCTCTTCAGGTTCACAGCTCTGTTTGGGAATCTCTTGGTTCATGATCTCTACAGCAACCTGTTCCACTCTGAAACACAAACATTCTGTAAGCAGGGATTCAAAGGAAAATCACCTTTGGGCATTAAGTGGACTCACTCTGACTGAGCTGAAGGTCTGTTACTGTGATGAGGTTTGGCCTTCATAGCGTCGGCACACTGAGTGATCAGACACTGCCAGCTGGATGAACACAGGTGACCCATAACCAGGTGAGACGGACAAACTTAGAAGATGAGGTTTTGTTTTGGTGGAAAACTCACGTTCTTCTGTCGGATACTGTCTGAGCCCTCAGCTCGTACATCTGGACCCCGTTCTCCGACATGGAGAGGACGAAGAAGGCCTTGTTTTCTGAAGATGACAGGTAGTCCGCTTATTTTCTTCTTGAAATTGTTAAATTTTTAATTTAAAGAAAAAACTGTGCAACCTGTAATCATTTGGCCAATTACACATATGAATTCTGCTTTTTGTGACTAACTTATGTTTTAATATTGAGAGCCTGATTTTTTTTTTTTTTTTTACCTGTGTCCCATTTGGTCATTAACACAGGAAAAGAAAATGAAAGATTTTTAATTAAAAAAGCAATAATTGATAAAAAAAAAACAAAAAATTATAATTTTATCATCTTGAGATGACTTGTGTTGTGAATTGGCGCTATAGAAATAAACTGAATTGAATTGAATTAGTAACTAAATTCTGTAGAAATTTACTCCCTCTGGCATCCTCTAGGGGGTGCTGCAGATTAATCTGAAGCATGAATTCTAGAAACCTTGGTCCTAAGTGTAACATGACATAAAAAGTATAAAATAATAATCCAAGTGAGAGGTATTTAGAGGACAGACAGTCTTACCAGTGGCGACAGGGCGAACCAGCACGGTGCTGAGTTTGATGATGGGGCTGAAGCTGTGTTTGGCATCTTGAACGCTGCTCATGTTTTTACCATGAAACTTAAGAACCAGACGCTCATCCTGTTTCTGAAGTAAAACCATGATGTCCTTCAAGAGAAGCGTGTACAGCTCTGAAAAGAAGTTATAACATACAGTAAGCATTTAAACTGTTCAAGTTATTTTTCTTCTCAGACCAGTGTCTTTTCCCAGATCCCATTAAATATCAACTCATTAAAAACCAAATAAAGCTTTAACTGTTTTTTAAACGTCTTTTCACAATCAAATACATATGTTTACCAATGGTTTTGTCTTTATTGACTTTCCAGGTTAGGGGACCCTCGTGTACCATCTCTCTCTTCGTCAGATCCAGATTCTAGTAGAAAAAAAGTAACAGTAAATACTTTCATTGAAAATTAAATGATAAAAAATATAAAATACTAAATATCATCATGTTTTACAGGTGATTTCAATCTACAGAAGCAGCCATTCAAAACTTTCCCACTTTTCTTGACGGCTCTTGGCTGGTCCCCTACAACTCATTTTAAAACATCTAAAATATTCTTTCTGTCATTATTTGTGGACATTAAGATCTAAAGAGAAGCGCCGTCTCCTGGTCAGACCCTGTAATTCAGTGAAAGGGTGGAGTCAGAGTAAAGTAATAAGAACACCCAGGAGAAGGCCAGTGGCTGGAAGTTGGAGGGGATTTTGCTGCCATTCAGCTGGAGTTTGACTGGGAATGGCCATTTTGAATGGCTGCTACTGTAATAGGAAAAGTGTCACACAAATTGCCAACCTAAAACCAGAATGATCTCAGACAAGTATAGAAGATCTAATTTATCAACTTTAATGTTTGGTGATCTCATAAACGCCTTTTACAGTTGCTTTTTGTATCTATGCTTCTTTTTCTATGTCTGCTTCTGTCTCCTTGAACCCCAGTCGGCCTCAGCAGATGGCCGCTCACACTGAGCCTGGTTCTGCTGGAGGTTTCTTCCTGTTCAAAGGGAGTTTTTCCTCTCCACTGTCGCTACAAGCATGCTTAGTGTGAGGGATTGCTGAAGAGTCAATGAGTCGATGCAATCAACTGGCTTTCCTTAGATAGAAAACTTTGAATCAATCTGACTGGATGATCTGGTGAACTGGAAACTGCCTCGAGATGATATAAGTTATGAATTGGCGCTATAGAAATAAACTGAATTGAATTGAATGCAATACGCCTCCTCTGGACAGCAGTCTATAGTGAGTATGACTGTTTCTTCTCTCTCTTACTATACCTTTCCACTGGTTATTTGGTCTACTACCTCTGTATTTTCTAAGGATGCCATACTAGTGTCAGCATTAAATATTCAGACCTGTGCAGCACCCTTATGCTACGTTCAGACTGCAAGCAGCAGTAGCAGCAAAAATGCTGCTTCAAAAATGAAGCAGCACGAGTTGATGTTCTGACGCGCATCTTTCATGCTCCAACTGCGCGGTCGAAAAGTGGGTCTGATGCGTAGTGGGCGGAGCTATCCTATCCTTTCTTTGCCTGGAACAATGGCAGCTATATTTGCTGTGATTAGTGGGTAAAAAGTAGTTTTAATATATTTTTAAGTGAGAAAGTCCACCTGAAAACTTCATCTGTGCAGTCAGTTCATCCAGATTACCATCCTGCCTTTAAAAATTATTTTGTCTGAGCCACTCAGACTCCCGTACAGCGGTGGTGCTCTGTCACTGGGAATCCCCATCAACAGCAGCCTCTGGCCCGGTCACCTCTTTGCAGTTTTGGGCTACTGTTCGTGGTGGCTGGAGGGCGTTTTTCACATATGTAATCCAAACTGCAGGCACCAGAATATTAAAAGCAAACATATTTTACCTGCAGGTTTTTTACATGTTAAGTTAATTTAGGCGTTAATAAACTGTTTCAGAGGAGTGATCATAGCGCTCTGCATCAGCAGTGCTGTGTCTGTCTCCCTGCCAGCTCCCAGATCAGCTTCTCTGATTGGTTGATGTGGAGCCTCCAGCAGCTAAAGTTCAATTTTTTCAACTCCGGCGGCTGCTGCTTCTGAAGCTCGCCGCACGCCTCAGATGCTCAGAAGCTCATGACGCGCTGCTCCTGCTTCTCAAAATGCACTGCGGGACCTTTTGCTGCGCCAAGATGGGCGTCAACCATTGACTTTGCATGTAAACTAGCTGCTTCTGCTGCCTGTGGTCTGAACGTAGCATTAGGATGGGCATGTTTCAAGTCCCAGCTACTTTATGTTGACTGAAAATAAACCACAAAGCTAATATGTACTAGGAAACTGAAAAAGGGCCCAATATAGAGCCTTGTGGAGCTCCATATGCAAATAGAGAATACAGGTGTACCGCATAGACCAAAGGTTTTATGGATCTAACTGTGTTTATGTTTTATTCGGTACGTTTCTCACCCTCAACTCCAGGATCACAGGATTTTCACTTTGTTTCAGAGATGAGACGTCTAGCCTCCTCTGATACTCCACTAGTCTCTGTTGGAATTAAAAGAAGCCATTAAATGTCTGGACAACAGTCTACTTTAGGGAATTGTATCTGAACTTAAAGATCAAATCTTGTTTTGCCACATCGTGCATTTTAACCTTAATTACATAATGATTACTTTAATTTGTTCATCAAAATCAAAAATAGATTAAAAAGACAGCTTATCACTGGATATTTTTCCTTGATGTTCTAATGTTTTCACCTGTTTGTTTTCAGCCTCCTTCACAGCCTGGTTAACATGGTTGAGGATCTTTTTGCAGCACTCCGCAGCTTTCTTCACCTTCTCCCTTTCCTCACACTCCTCTGTTAAAAACAGACAAATTAGCCAAAAACTTTCAAAGTATCCAAAGAGTTAAAGTACCCTTTTCAAAATGCATGGAATCCTATTCATACCAGAGTATTTTGCAATATTGTCCAGTAGGAGCGGGTACTTTGTAACTCTTTGCATTTCCACAGGAATGATGTCTTTCAGCTGCAGCCTGCGACACAAGCGGTTGCTCTCAGCTTCCTAAAAATCAAAGGTTGATTAAAAAAAAGTTTATGTCAATTTAATATCTCCCTTAACAGAACTTTGACACCTTGTCAATTTAGCCAGCGTATGATGTTGGATAAGTTATGGGTACGTTCACTACTCGAGTTGAGCAGGGATGAGAGGGGCTGGCATCCCCCTTCTTAGAGATATCTTAAAAATCATCCTCCTTCTTAAATGACCATCTCCCCCATACCATCCCTTGTGACATTTTTTTACTCAATGTGTACATTTCTACTATATATTAACAATAATGGCAATAATATTCCCCTTTCAACATTTGGTGGGCTGTGGGCTTACAAGTAGCCTGAGCAAAATAAATAAAATCAAAGAAGTGTCCTACCATGACTGTGAAGCTGATCCCAGTGTGAAGTTAGTCCCTAACTATGTAGGAGCAGTGATAGCCATGCTAACTATGTAGCGGCAGTGATAGCCATGCTAACTATGTAGAGGCAGTGATAGCCATGCTAACTATGTAGCGGCAGTGATAGCCATGCTAACTATGTAGCAGCAGTGATAGCCATGCTAACTATGTAGAGGCAGTGATAGCCATGCTAACTATATAGGAGCAGTGATAGCCATGCTAACTATGTAGGAGCAGTGATAGCCATGCTAACTATGTAGAGGCAGTGATAGCCATGCTAATTATGTAGGAGCAGTGATAGCCATGCTAACTCTGTAGGGGCAGTGATAGCCATGCTAACTATGTATGAGCAGTGATAGCCATGCTAACTATGAAGAGGCAGTGATAGCCATGCCAAAATATTTAGGGAAAGTGATGCCATGAAAAAGGGTGGGGGCAGTGATACCCAAAGGGCCAATTTAGTGGGGCAGGGATAGCCATGTAACTATGTAGGGCAGGGGTTATAGCCATGCAATTTTTGGGGGCAGTTTTTAGCCATGCTAACTATGTAGGGGAAGTGTTTAGCCATGTAACTATGGGGGGCCCCAGGGGTTTTAGCCAGGGTAATTTTAGGGGCAGTGATAGCCATGAAAAACTTTTTGGGGCCCAGGGGATAGCCATGCAAACTTGTGGGGAGCAGTGATAGCCATGAAAAATTTATGTAGGAGCGGGGTGATAGCCATGAAAAAACTATGTGGGGAAAAAGTGAAAACCCATCCCAAACTATTTAGGGGCAGTGATAGCCATGAAAACCCTTTGTAGGGGGAAGTGATTCCATCCCAACTATGTAGGAAAGTGATAGCCATGCTAATTGTGGGGGCTTTTGATGCCATGCTAACTATGTAGGGGGGGGAAGTGATAGCCATCCCAATTTGTAGGGGCAGTGAAAAGCCATCCCAAACTTTTTAAAAGGGGGCAGTGTTACCCAAAATGCTAACTGTGTAGGGGCAGGGATAGCCTTGCTAACTATGAGGGGAAGTGATAGCCATCCCAAAAACTTTTTAAAGGGGCAGGTTTAAGCCATGTTAACTTGTGGGGCAGTGATAGTTTTTCCCAAATATGTAGGGCAGGGAAAAGCCATCCCAAACTATTTAGGGCAGGGGCCCAGAAAGGGTTTGGGGCCATGTAACAAATTTAAAGGGCAGTGATACCCATGCTAATTGTAGGGGCAGTGATAGCCATCCCAATTTTTTGGGGGGGGCCCAGGATACCCCTGCTAATTTGTGGGGGGCAGTGTTTGGCCATGCAAAAAAAACTATGAAAGGGCAGTGATAGCCATGAAACTTTTTAAAGGGGCAGTGATAGCCATGCTAATTTATTTTGGGGCAGTGTCCCATGAAAAACATGTAGGGGATTTTTGTTAGCCATCCCAACTATGTAGGGGAGTGATAGCCAGCTAACTTGTAGGGGAGTGATAGCCATCCCAACTATGTAGGGGAAGTGATGCCATGCCAACTTTTAAAGGGGCAGTGATATTTCCATGCTAACGGGTGTGGGGGCCCGGTGATAGCCATGCTAACTTTTGGGGGAAAAAGTGATAGCCATCCCAAAACTTTTTAAAGGGGCAGTGATGGGCCATGAATTAAATGTTGGGGGCATTGATACCCAAACCCAACTATGTGGGGAAGGGATAGCCATGCTAACTATGTAGGGGCAGTTGCATGCCTCCAAATTGTAAGGGGAGTGTTTACCCCTGCTAATATGTAGGGGAAGTGTTTAGCCATCCCAAACTAGGGGCAGTGATACCCATCCCTTAACTATTTGGAGCAGTGATAGCCATGCAAACTTTTTTTGGGGGGCGTGTTAGCCATGCTAACTATGTAGGGCAGGATAGCCATCCCAACTTTTTAAAGGGCAGTGATAGCCATGCTAACTTTTGTAGGGGCAGTGATAGCCATGCAAATTTTAAAGGGGCGTGATAGCCTTTAAAAATTGTGTGGGGAAGTGATACCTCCCAACTTGTAGGGGCAGTGATAGCCAGGGGCCAAACTTTTGGGGGGGCCAGTGTTTTGCCCATGCAACCCTTTTTAAAGGGCCGGTGTAGACACCCAATTTTTAGTGGAAAAGTGATAGCCATGAAAACTTTTTAAAGGGCAGTGTTTAGCCATGCAAACTGTGGTAGGGGGGGGGTTTGGGCCATGCAAACTATGTGTGGCAGGGATACCCAAAGCCCCAAACCTTTTAAAGGGCAGTGAAAAGCCAGGCAACCCTGGGGGGGCCCAAGGGGTAGCCCTGCTAAAAATTGTATTTGGGCAGTAAATACCCATGCCAACTTTTTTAAGGGCGGGGATAGCCATGCTAAATTTTTAAGGGCCCCTGGGATAGCCAATGGTGTTGTAGGGGCAGTGATAACCCCTGCCAACTTTTTTAAGGGCAGTGTTTCCCCTTCCCAAAACGGGGGTTGGGGCGGGTGAAAAGCCATGCTAACTATGTATTGGCAGTAAATAAGCCATCCCAAACCTTTTTTAAGGGCAGTGATAGCCATGCAAACTATGTGGGGGGCCATTTTACCCATCCCCCTAACTATGGGGGGGCCATTTGTTCCCAATTCCCCCTAAAACTTTTGTAGGGGCCCGGTGCAGCCATGCAAAAACTATTTTGGGGAAGTGATAGCCATCCCAAATATTGTAGGGCAGTATTTCCCATGACCCCTATTTGTTGGCCCCAGTGTTGGGCCATGTAAACTTTTTTGGGGAAAGGGATAGCCAGCTAACTATGTGGGGGGGAAAAGTGATACCCAATGCCAACTATGTAGTGGCGTGATAGCCATTCAAGTTTTAAAAGGGCGTGATGCCAGGGCTAACTATGTGGGGGGCAGGGGGCCCATGCAAAATATGTGGGGGCATGTTTGCCTTTGGCTAACTATGTGGGGGAAAAGGGTGTTAGCCATTCCAACTTGTGGGGGCAGTGATAGCCATGCTAATATGTGTGGCAGGGGTTTGCCAGGGCTAATATGTAGGGGAAGTGATAGCCTTCCCCAATTTTTGTAGGGGGAAAGTGTAGCCATGCCAACTATTTAAGGGCATTTGGATAGCCTTGTAACTATTTTGGGCTGTGAAAGCCATCCCTAACTTGTGGGGATTGTGTTAGCCACCCAACTATGTAGTGGCATTGATCCCCATGCCAATTTTTTAAAGGGGCAGGTTAGCCATGCTAACTATTTTGGGGCGTGATAGCCTTGCTAACTTTTAGGGGCAGTGATAGCCATGCTAACTAGGGTAGGGGAAGTGTTACCCATGCCAATATGTAGGGGCGTGATAAGCCTTGCTAACTTTTGTAGGGGCGGGGTGATAGCCATGTAACTGTTTTAGGACAGTGTTAGCCCACCCTTTGCTAAAAATGTAGGAGCAGTGAACCCTTTGCAAAACAAATGCAGGGGAAGTGATAGCCATGCCAACTTTTTTGGGGGGCAGTGTACCCTGAAACTGTGTGGGGGGCAGTGATCCATGAACCTTTTTTTTATTTTTGGGGACAGGATAGCCATGCTAATATGTAGGGGCGTGTTAGCCATGCTAACTGTGTAGGGGCAGGTTACCCTGAAAACCAGGTAGGGGGCCCAGTGATAGCCATGTAACTATGTGGGAGCGGGGTGATAGCCATGCAAAATTTGTAGGAGCAGTGATAGCCAGGGTAAATATGTAGGGGCAGATAGCCATGCTAACTATGTAGGTGCGTGATAGCCTGTTTAACTATGTAGGAGCAGTGATAGCCATGTTTAACTTTGTGGGGGAAGTGATGCCATGTTTAATTTATGTAGGGGCAGTGTTACCATCCCCAAAATATGTGGGGGGGCAAAAGGGGGCATGTTTTTGCTAACTGTGTAGGGGCAGTGATACCCAAATGCTTAACTATGTGGGGGAAGGATAGCCATGCCAATATGAAAGTGCAGTGATAGCCATCCCCCAACTATTTAAGGGCAGTGAAAGCCATGCAAAATTTGTTGAGGGGCAGTGATAGCCTTCCCAAAACTTTGTATTGGCATTTTATAGCCATGCCAACTTTTAAGGGCAGTGATACCCAAATGTTTAAACTATGTAGGGGGGGCCCAAACAGGGGGAAAAAACCCATCCCAAAAAATTTAAGGGCATGATAGCCATGAAAAACTTTTTAAAGGGGGCCCGTGATAGCCATGCTAATGTGTAGGGGCTGTGATTTTGGCCATCCCTTAAACTGTGTAGGGGCAGTGATAGCCTCCAAACTTTTTAAAGGGCAGTGATAGCCATCCCAAACTTTTAAAGGGGCAGTGATACCCAAATAAAACTAAAATATGAAAAAGGGGGCAGTGATAGCCAGCAAACTATTTAAAGGGCAATTGGGGGATAAGCCATGAAAAACTTGTAGGGGCAGTGATAGCCATCCCCTAAAATTTTTGTAAAAGGTGGGGAGTGATAGGCCATGACCCAGAATATTTAAGGGCGTGAAGCCATGTTTAATTTATGTAGGGGCATTGATAGCCTGCTAATATGTGGGGGGCAGTGATACCCAATGCTAACTATGTAGTGGCAGTGATAGCCATGTTAACTTGTAGGGGAAAGTGATAGCCTTTGCAAAATATGTAGGGGAAGTGATACCCCTT